GCATTCCAACGAGTACAGTAAAGTGCTTCCAAGCGTTCCCAGTAGTTAAGGTGCTTGACAAAAATTATACGTGCAGTAAAGGATCTCTGTACACTCTCTAGATCTGCGATTTCACCTGCTTTGAATGGAGATGTTAATGTACAGCAGTATTCCACCTAGAGAAAAACAAGTGATTGAAAAGGATCATGGGCTTGGCATCTCTCGTTTTGAAAGTTCTCATTATCCATCCTATCATTTTCTTTGCACGTGCGATCGTGGCAACTGTTGTGATCCTTGAAAGTGAGATCCTCAGACATTACTACTCCCAGGTCCCTTACCATTATTTTTCCGCTCTATTGTATGGCCGGTGTCAGTAGTTTTACTCTGTTCTAGTTATTATCTCCTCCAGTTTTCCAAAAGGGAAAGTAGTTGGAATTTTTTCCTCATTGAACATTTTTGTTTACCGTTCCCCACGGGAAAAAACTTTGTTTATATCTTCTTGGAGGTTAACCGGGGTCCTCAGCAGATGACAGCCTCATGCAGATCCTAGTATCATCCGCAAAGGATGATACGGGCTGTGGTGTATATTTTCTGTTTATGTCTGTTATGAGGATAAGGAATAAGATGGGGGGCGAGTACTGTGCCTTGTGGAAACAGAGCTCTTCACTATGGCAGCCTCCGATTTAACTCTGTTGACCACTACTCTTTGTGTTCGATTTGTTAGGAAGTTGAAGATCCATCTCCCCACTTTCCCAGTTATTCCTTTAGTACGTATTTTAGGGGCTATTACGCCATGATCGCATTTGTCAAATGCTTTTGCAAAGTCTGTGTATATTACATCTGCATTCTGTTTTTTCTTCCAGTGCATCCAAGGCCATGTCATTAGTGATCCAGTAGTTGTGAGAGGCAGGAGCGACCTGCCCTGAACCCAGTTGCCCTGGATTGTGCAGATTTTGGGGAATCCAGGTGTTTGCAATCCTGCTTCTTAGCACTCTTTCAAAGATTTTTATGATGTGGGACGTCAGAGCTATTGGTCTTATGTTCTTAGCTAATGCTTTGCTGCCACCTTTATGGAGTGGGGCTATATCCGTTGTTTTAAGTGACTGTGGAATTTCACCCATGTCCAAGCTCCTCCTCCATAGTGTACTTAGCGCACGCGAGAGGGGTTTCTTGCAGTTCTTAATGAAAACAGAGTTCCACGAGTCTGGGCCCGGGGTGAGTGCATAGGCATGTTGTCAATGGCTTTTTCGAAATCTATGGAGTTAGGGTAATGTTTGGAAATCTGGCATACATTTATGGAGTTTGAGGCTCATTCATGAAGAAATCATTTGGGTCGTCGATCCTCAGACCGAAATTTGTGGTTCACTAAACATAGAGTCGTACTGGGATTTCCAAAATTTTCACTCATTTCCTTGTTGTCGTCTGTGTAAGTCCCATCCTGTCTGAGTAAGGGGCCCCATACTAGATGTGGTATTTGCCTTGTTTTTGGCATATGAAAAGAAAATATTTTGAATTTCTTTCAATTTCACTAATAGCTTTAAGCTCCTCCTGCCTCTCCTGGTTCCTGTAAGAGTCATTTAGCTTAAGTTCGATAGTTTCCACTTCCCTGGTCAGCGCCTCCTTTCGTGTATCAGATATTCTAGCACTCCTGAGGAGCTCAGTGACTCTTCGTCGTCTTCTGTAGAGGGAGCGTCTTTTTCTCTCCAGTTTACTCCTGCTCTTCTTCTTTCTTAGGGGAATATGCCTAGAACATGCTTCGGCTACCAGGCAGTTGATCTTTTCAAGGCACTGGTTTGGATCCATGTGGGTAAATGTAACTCTAGGTGGGTTCTGGGGTGGGTAAATGTAACTCTTGGTGGGTTCTGGGGTGAGTAAATGTAACTCTTGGTGGGTTCTGGGGTGGGTAAATGTAACTCTTGGTGGGTTCTGGGGTGGGTTAAAAGTAACTCTGGTGGGTTCTGGGGTGGGTAAATGTAACTCTAGGGGGTTCTGGGTGGGTAAATTTTAACTCTTGGTGGGTTCTGGGGTGGGTAAATGTAACTCTTGGTGGGTTCTGGGGTGGGTAAAAGTAACTCTAGGTGGGTTCTGGGGTGGGTAAATGTAACTCTTGGTGGGTTCTGGGTGGGTAAATGTAACTCTAGGTGGGTTCTGGGGTGGGTAAGTGTAACTCTTGGTGGGTTCTGGGGTGGGTAAATGTAACTCTTGGTGGGTTCTGGGGTGGGTAAATGTAACTCTTGGTGGGTTCTGGGGTGGGTAAAAAGTAACTCTTGGTGGGTTTTTGGGGTGGGTAAATGTAACTCTTGGTGGGTTCTGGGGTGGGTAAATGTAACTCTTGGTGGGTTCTGGGTGGGTTAAATGTAACTCTAGGTGGGTTCTGGGGTGGGTAAATGTAACTCTAGGTGGGTTCTGGGGTGGGTAAATGTAAAATCTTGGTGGGTTCTGGGTGGGTAAAAAGTAACTCTAGGTGGGTTCTGGGGTGGGTAAATGTAACTCTAGGTGGGTTCTGGGGTGGGTAAATGTAACTCTAGGTGGGTTCTGGGGTGGGTAAATGTAACTCTTGGTGGGTTCTGGGGTGGGTTAAATAACTCTAGGTGGGTTCTGGGGTGGGTAAATTGTAACTCTTGGTGGGGTTTTGGGGTGGGTAAATGTAACTCTAGGGGGGTTCTGGGGTAGGTAAATGTAACTTTGGTGGGTTCTGGGGTGGGTAAATGTAACTCTTGGTGAGTTCTGGGGTGGGTAAATGTAACTCTAGGTGGGTTCTGGGGTGGGTAAATGTAACTTGGTGGGTTCTGGGGTGGGTAAATGTAACTCTAGGTGGTTCTGGGGTGGGTAATGTAACTCTAGGTGGGTTCTGGGGTGGGTAAATGTAACTCTTGGTGGGTTCTGGGGTGGGTTTAAAAGTAACTCTAGGTGGGGTTCTGGGGTGGGTAAATGTAACTTGGTAAACTCTAGGTGGGTAAATGTAACTCTAGGTGGGTTCTGGGGTGGGTAAATGTAACTCTAGGTGGGTTCTGGGGTGGGTAAATGTAACTCTAGGTGGGTTCTGGGGTGGGTAAATGTAACTCTGGTGGGTTCTGGGGTGGGGAAATGTAACTCTAGGTGGGTTCTGGGGTGGGTAATGTAAAATCTAGGTGGGTTCTGGGGTGTAAATGTAACTCTTGGTGGGTTCTGGGGTGGGTAAATGTAACTTAGGTGGGTTCTGGGGTGGGTTTAAATGTAACTCTAGGTGGGTTCTGGGGTGGGTAAATGTAACTCTTGGTGGGTTCTGGGGTGGGTAAAAAGTAACTCTTGGGTTTGGGGGGTTCTGGGTGGGTAAATGTAACTCTTGGTGGGTTCTGGGGTGGGTAAAAAGTAACTCTAGGTGGGTTCTGGGGTGGGTAAATGTAACTTGGTGGGTTCTGGGGTGGGTAATGTAACTCTAGGTGGGTTCTGGGGTGGGTAAATGTAATCTTGGTGGGTTTGGGGTGGGTAAATGTAACTCTTGGTGGGTTCTGGGGTGGGTAAATGTAACTCTAGGTGGGTTCTGGGGTTGGGTAAATGTAACTCTTGGTGGGTTCTGGGGTGGGTAAATGTAACTTTGGTGGGTTTGGGGTGGGGGTAAATGTAACTTGGTGGGTCTGGGGTGGGTAATGTAACTCTTGGTGGGTTTTTGGGGTGGGGGAAATGTAACTCTAGGTGGGTTCTGGGTGGGTAAATGTAACTCTTGGTGGGTTCTGGGGTGGGTAAATGTAACTCTTGGTGGGTTCTGGGGTGGGTAAATGTAACTCTTGGTGGGTTCTGGGGGGGTAAATGTAACTCTTGGTGGGTTCTGGGGGTGGGTAAATGTAACTTAGGTGGGTTTGGGGGGGTGGGTAAATGTAACTCTAGGTGGGTTCTGGGGTGGGTAAATGTAACCTTGGTGGGTTCTGGGGTGGGTAAATGTAACTTTGGTGGGTTTGGGGTGGGTAAATGTAACTCTAGGTGGGTTCTGGGGTTTTGGGGTTTTAGGGATTGGGGGTTTTGGGGGGGTAAAAGAAACCAGGTGTGGTGGGAAATGTAACCCGGTGGGGTTCTGGGGGGTAAAGGAACCCGGTGAGATGTTTGGGTTAGTCTCTTGGGGCCGGGGTTTTTGGAAATTAATCTTGTGGGGGTTTGGGTGGGGAACTTATGGTGTTTTCTGGGGGTTTAAAAGGAACTTTTTGGGGTTTCTGGTGGGGATTAAATTTTTAGGGGGTTCTGGGGGTGGGAATTAAATTTTCTAGGTGGTTTCTTGTAAAGGGAAATCTAAAGGTTGGGTTCCGGTTAGGTGTTAAATTAACTCAGGGGGGATCTTGGGGAAATTAATCTTTGGGTTCTGGGGGTGGGGAAAAGTAACTTTTGTTCTGGGGTTTTAAAGGACCTGGTTGGTTCTGGGTTTTGGGTTTTTTAAATTATCATTTTTTTGGTGGGTTCTGGGTTGGTTTTAAAGTAACCCCAGGTTTCTGGGGGGGTTAATTATTGTTTTTGGGGGGGTAAGGTAAATCTGGGGGTTTTTGTTAAAATTTTCTCTCAGGTTTCCCTGGGGTTGGGAAATTTTTAACTCTTTGGGGTTTCGTGTGGAAATTTTTTTAACTTCTAGGTTCGGTTCTGGGGGATGAACTATGGGTTTTTGGGGGGTAAATGGTAACTTGTGGGTTTTTGGTAAAAGTAATTAGGTGGGTTTGGGGGGGCAGTAAAAATCTTGGGGGTTCCTTTGGGTGGGTTTTAAATTTTTAACACTCTTTTGTGGGTTTTTAAGGAATAAAAACCAATTCTTTCCAAAATTACCTTATACTTTTTAGGGTGAGATAATGGGTTTGTCAAACTTTGCAAAGGGGGTTGGGGATTTACCGCTTTGAATTTTTTGTTCCAACATATTGAATAAACCCTTTTTTGGACAACCAACTTCCCGAAACCCCAAAAATATTTCAATTTTGGGGTTCAGGTGTTTAATTCTTCAGGAATATAAAATTGATATAAGCAATTCCTTGTATTTATCTGGTTCTTCCTGGTTCCCGAGGCAGGTTGAGGTGGACCTGGACCTGGTGAGGGAGCTCAGGGACCTGAATGTGGCCCTGGCCAAGGTGCAGCAGCAGGAGAAGCAGCAGGAAGAAGGGCTTACTGCTGAAGCAGGGGGCGAGGACCCCTGGGAGGCCTTGCTTGACATGGCAGCTAGCAAGAAGAGAATTACCATTGTAATGTATGAGAGTAATGTGTGAGTGTCTCTCTCTCTCTCTCTCTCTCTCTCTCTCTCTCTCTCTCTCTCTCTCTCTCTCTCTCTCTCTCTCCCTGTGTGTGTGTGTTCGATACCTTAGAAACGCCTCTTCCAATCCTCTTCAAACTTCCACCAACGCTTCTGTAAGGGAGTTTTACGGTGCAGGTGTCGCCAGAGACGGATTTTGACCTCCTGAGACCCTGACCAAATCAAATTAAAGGTCTGTATACAAGGTATACAGACCATATCTGACATCAGTGACATACTACTATATAGAAAGTCGCTTGTTATGCTAAGCATTTCCCGCAAATTAGGTCAATTTTGTCCCAGGATGCGACCCACACCAGTCCACTAACACCCAGGATGTGACCCACACCAGTCGACAAACACCCAGGATGCGACCCACACCAGTCCACTAACACCCAGGATGCGACCCACACCAGTCCACTAACACCCAGGATGCGACCCACACCAGTCGACAAACACCCAGGATGCGACCCACACCAGTCGACTAACACCCAGGATGCGACCCACACCAGTCCACTAACACCCAGGATGCGACCCACACCAGTCCACTAACACCCAGGATGCGACCCACACCAGTCCACTAACACACAGGATGCGACCCACACCAGTCCACTAACACCCAGGATGCGACCCACACCAGTCCACTAACACACAGGATGCGACCCACACCAGTCCACTAACACCCAGGATGCGACCCACACCAGTCCACTAACACTCAGGTACCTATTTTACTGCTAGGTGAAGAGGAACAGCAAATGCCTTAAGGAAACACGTCCTAATGTTTCCAGCCGTACCGGGGATCGACCCTCGGACCTCAGTGTGTGAGCTGAGTGCACTAGCGATGGAGCTAGCTGACCAGAACCAAGTTCCTGGCACCCATGGCTGTCAGTATCAACTGGGAACTTTGACTGCCTCACCAGTAAGAATACAAACAGACTTTCAGCCTTAAAAACGGAGACTGTTGTCACCTCTGGCTAGGCAGTAGTCTGGAGGTGTCAACGCGTGCTTCCATGTGGTTGGTAGCGCACTCAGCTCACACACAGGTCCGTGGTTCGATCACCGGTACGAGTGGTAACATTTGGGCGTGTCTACTTAAGACACCTGTTTCCCTGTTCACCTAGCAGTAAGTAGATACCTGGGAGTTAGTCACCTTACACCTGCTGTCACTGTTCACCTAGCAGTAAGTAGATACCTGGGTGTTAGCCACCTTACACCTATTGTCACTGTTCACCTAGCAATAAGTAGATACCTGGGAGTTAGTCACCTTACACCTGCTGTCACTGTTCACCTAGCAGTAAGTAGATACCTGGGTGTTAGTCACCTTACACCTATTGTCACTGTTCACCTAGCAGTAAGTAGATACCTGGGTGTTAGTCACCTCACACCTACTGTCACTGTTCACCTAGTAATAAGTAGATACCTGAGTGTTAGTCACCTTACACCTACTGTCACTGTTCTCCTAGCAATAAGTAGATACCTGAGTGTTAGTCACCTTACACCTACTGTCACTGTTCACCTAGCAATAAGTAGATACCTGGGTGTTAGTCACCTTACACCTACTGTCACTGTTCTCCTAGCAATAAGTAGATACCTGAGTGTTAGTCACCTTACACCTACTGTCACTGTTCACCTAGCAATAAGTAGATACCTGGGTGTTAGTCACCTTACACCTACTGTCACTGTTCTCCTAGCAATAAGTAGATACCTGGGTGTTAGTCACCTTACACCTACTGTCACTTCACCTAGCAGTAAGCAAGTACCTGGGTGTTAGTCAACAGGTGTGGGTCTTATCCTTGGACAAAACTGACCTAATTGGCCCGAAATGCTCTACATAAGTAAGGACTTTACAGTATGCCATTGATGTCAGCTATGGTCTGTATAAGTTATATCATGTACTTGTATAAATAAAGATTATTAGTAGTAGTAGTACCATTACTATCATATACATTAGTTACATGTGTATTGTACACTGTATTCATGTAATATATTGGTAACTACAAAAGATACAGAGATGTACTAGTTTTAGTTAGTTTAATATGTTTATTATGCACCCCATACCCATCCTGTGGGCGGTAGTCAAAAGATTACAGAGGTACATAATTGGTCCAGGGACTGGACTCCAAAGTTTTGATAGCTGAGCAAGTTACAGAGGTAATGAACTCACAATTTACAAAGGTAATGAACTCACAATTTACAAAGGTAATGAACTCCAGGTAAGTCTGGTCACAATCATGACAAGTTACAAAGGTATTTACAGATTACAGAGGTACGTAATGGGTCCAGGGACTGGGCCCCCAAAGTTTTGATAGCTGAACTAGGAACAAGGGTAATGAGCTCACAAGTTACAAAGGTAATGAATTCTGTAGAATGGTTACTTACGTTTATACTTTGGCTACAATCATGAACAAATTATAGAGTAATGAGCAATTCACACTTCCACACCCGGTCACAACTGTAATGAGTTATTGGTGCAAATATTGATTGTTGAGTCACACACACACACAACACACACACACACACACACACCACAACACACACACACACACACACACACACACACACACACACACACACACACACACACACTTTAGTTTAATATCTTTATGCACCCCATACCCATCCTGTGGGCGGTAGTCAAAAGATTACTAGGACTGTGGAAAATTGCATTTAGCTGAATGTATCATTATATACATAACAGTAAATGAACATAGATAATCACTCACTACGAAAGCAAAAGACTTGGCAGACGATGCATCATCCCCCCAATGAAAAGCAGGGATGTCACTAGCACGTTAAGAGACCATACAATAAGTGTCAGGGGCCCGAGACTGTTCAACTGCCTCCCAGCATACATAAGGGGGATTACCAACAGACCCCTGGCAGTCTTCAAGCTGGCACTGGACAAGCACCTAAAGTCGGTTCCTGACCAGCCAGGCTGTGGCTCGTACGTTGGTTTGCTGCTGCTCTGGACCTATTAATTAAATGAAATATACATCACCAGGAATGCTGGTAAATATATAAATTTGTGGACTGTATATTAAATTAAAAAATGATTATATATAAATACATTTATATAACAGAAGGAGAATATATCTTAATCATATCACTCACCAATTTGACTGGAAATCAAGGTGTATCATACTCAGAAAACTTCTATATATATAAGAAAATAACTGGCCAGAGTTATAACATAACAGACTTATCTGAGGTTCCTGGAGCTGTCTTGTCCAGTCGTCTGATATCTCAAGTTATGCAGGAATGCACATCCAACAATTTCGCCTCCTATTTGAGAGGTGTCAACCCAATTTTAACCTCTAGAGCACGAAAAATTCCTTCCCATTACACTAACGTTGTATCCAATTCAAATTAACAATGGCGACTCTCCTTCTGCGCAGACGCAGGCTCAGTTTCCCATTTTCCATAACCTAATTTTTATTAAATACAATATAGGCCATCTATTTACCTATAAATTACCGTATTTCCGGAAAATATACAGTATTTTCCACAAGGACATACATAAAAAAAATTTTGTGGGTTATCCTAAGTAGTTTACACATAAGTTACCCATCAGTAAAACAGGTACCTGGGTTTTACTGGACTGGTGTGGGTCGCATCCTGGGTGTTAGTGGACTGGTGTGGGTCGCATCCTGGGTGTTAGGGGACTGGTATGGGTCGCATCCTGGGACAAAATTGACCTTATTTGTCCGAAATGCTCAGCATAATAACCGACTTTCTATATAGTTTTTTAAACTATTTATCACATATAGTAATATGTTTAGTAATATAGGTTTTAAACCATTTATCACATATAGGAATATGTTTAATAATATAGTTTTTAAACCATTTATTACATATAGTAGTTAGTCAGTGATGTCAGCCATGATCTGTATACCTTGTACATGTGCTGGTAGTAAGATAAGATAAGAGATAAGATTTCGTTCGGATTTTTAACCCCGGAGGGTTAGCCACCCAGGATAACCCAAGAAAGTCAGTGCGTCATCGAGGACTGTCTAACTTATTTCCATTGGGGTCCTCAATCTTGCCCCCCAGGATGCGACCCACACCAGTCGACTAACACCCAGGTACCTATTTGCTGCTAGGTGAACAGGACAACAGGTGTGAGGAAACGTGTCGAAATGTTTCCACCCGCCGGGAATCGAACCCGGGCCCTCCGTGTGTGAAGCGGGAGCTTTAGCCACCAGGCCACCGGGCCACCTAAATAAAGATATTATTATTATTATTATTATTATTATTATATTATTATTATTATTATTATTATTATTATTATTATTATTATTATTATTATTATTATTATTATTGTTGTTGTTGTTTGTTTGTTGTTGTTGTTGTTGTGCTTGTGTGTATCTGAACCTAAATAAACTTAGGTTCTATCTCACTATTTCGTTCTGGGTGATATACCGTCCGTGTTCGAGTTTAGGGCTCAGTACGGCGTCTTTTGTGAATAGTTTGCAATCCTAATGGCGCTAAAACTAACTTATGACACGGAGCTTGGCTCTATCATCATTACTGATTCTATGTCATCATTGAAGGCTCTTGACTCATATAATGACTCCAACAACATGCTCATTGGAGAAGCCAGGTATAGATACTCAAAATCCGGAATAAAGGAATTAATGTACAATTGCTATGGATCCCATCACACATTGGATTACTCCATGATAAAGTTGATATGTTAGCCAAGAAGAGTACCCAGAAGGAGAATGTAGAATATAACTTTGGTATATCAGTGTCCAGCATTAGGAATAATATTAGGAGAGAAGTAAATAATGAAAATGATTATAGTAATGCAGTTAGAAGCCTGAGTAGATCTATAACCCACTATGATAACATGAACGTAGATAAGTATGTTTATGAAGCAACTTGCAATGTGAACACTGACTGTTGTTGTAGTGGCCAGGCTTAGGCTTGGTTACAAGTACTGACTGATGTTGTAGTGGCCAGGCTTAGGCTTGGTTACAAGTACTGACTGATGTTGTAGTGGCCAGGCTTAGGCTTGGTTACAAGTACTGACTGATGTTTAGTGGCCAGGCTTAGGCTTGGTAACAAGTACTGACTGATGTTGTAGTGGCCAGGCTTAGGCTTGGTTACAAGTACTGACTGATGTTGTAGTGGCCAGGCTTAGGCTTGGTAACAAGTACTGACTGTTGTTGTAGTGGCCAGGCTTAGGCTTGGTTACAAGTACTGACTGATGTTGTAGTGGCCTGGCTTAGGCTTGGTAACAAGTACTGACTGTTGTTGTAGTGGCCAGGCTTAGGCTTGGTTACAAGTACTGACTGATGTTGTAGTGGCCAGGCTTAGGCTTGGTTACAAGTACTGACTGATGTTGTAGTGGCCAGGCTTAGGCTTGGTTACAAGTACTGACTGTTGTTGTAGTGGCAAGGCTTAGGCTTGGTTACAAGTACTGACTGATGTTGTAGTGGCCAGGCTTAGGCTTGGTTACAAGTTTACCTGGAGTTTACCTGGAGAGAGTTCCGGGGGTCAACGCCCCCGCGGCCCGGTCTGTGACCAGGCCTCCTGGTGGATCGGAACCTGATCAACCAGACTGTTGCTTCTGGCTGCACGCAAACCAATGTACGAGCCACAGCCCGGCTGGTCAGGAACCGACTTTAGGTGCTTGTCCAGTGCCAGCTTGAAGACTGCCAGGGATCTGTTGGTAATCCCCCTTATGTATGCTGGGAGGCAGTTGAACAGTCTCGGGGCCCTGACACTTATTGTATGGTCTCTTAACGTGCTAGTGACACCCCTGCTTTTCATTGGGGGGATGTTGCATCGTCTGCCAAGTCTTTTGCTTTCGTTGTGAGTGATTTTCGTGTGCAAGTTCGGTACTAGTCCCTCTAGGATTTTCCAGGTATATATAATCATGTATCTCTCCCCCTGTGTTCCAGGGAATACAGTTTTTAGGAAACCTCAAGCGCTCCCCAGTAATTGAGGTGTTTTATCTCCGTTACGCGCGCCGTGAAGGTTCTCTGTACATTTTCTAGGTCAGCAATTTCACCTGCCTTGAAAGGTGCTGTTAGTGTGCAGCAATATTCCAGCCTAGATAGAACAAGTGACCTGAAGAGTTTCATCATGGGCTTGGCCTCCCTAGTTTTGAAGGTTCTCATTATCCATCCTGTCATTTTTCTAGCAGATGCGATTGATACAATGTTATGGTCCTTGAAGGTGAGATCCTCCGACATGATCACTCCCAGGTCTTTGACGTTGGTGATTCACTCTATTTTGTGGCCAGAATTTGTTTTGTACTCTGATGAAGATTTAATTTCCTCGTGTTTACCATATCTGAGTAATTGAAATTTCTCATCGTTGAACTTCATATTGTTTTCTGCAGCCCACTGAAAGATTCGGTTGATGTCCGCCCGGAGCCTTGCAGTGTCTGCAATGGAAGACACTGTCATGCAGAATCGGGTGTCATCTGCAAAGGAAGACACGGTGCTGTGGCTGACATCCTTGTCTATGTCGGATATGAGGATGAGGAACAAGATGGGAGCGAGTACTCTGTCTTTTGGAACAGAGTTTTTCACCGTAGCTGCCTCGGACTTTACTCCGTTGACGACTACTCTCTGTGTTCTGTTAGGGAGGAAATTATAGATCCATCGACCGACTTTTCCTGTTATCCCTTTAGCACGCATTTTCTGCGCTATTACGCCATGGTCACACTTGTCGAAGGCTTTTGCAAAGTCTGTATATATTACATCTGCATTCTTTTTGTCTTCTAGTGCATTTAGGACCTTGTCGTAGTGATCCAATAGTTGAGACAGACAGGAGCGACCTGTTCTAAACCCATGTTGCCCTGGGTTGTGTAACTGATGGGTTTCTAGATGGGTGGTGATCTTGCTTCTTAGAACCCTTTCAAAGATTTTATGATATGGGATGTTAGTGCTATCGGTCTGTAGTTCTTTGCTGTTGCTTTACTGCCCCCTTTGTGGAGTGGGGCTATGTCTGTTGTTTTTAGTAACTGTGGGACGACCCCCGTGTCCATGCTACCTCTCCATAGGATGGAAAAGGCTCGTGATAGGGGCTTCTTGCAGTTCTTGATGAACACAGAGTTCCATGAGTCTGGCCCTGGGGCAGAGTGCATGGGCATGTCATTTATCGCCTGTTCGAAGTCATTTGGCGTCAGGATAACATCGGATAAGCTTGTGTTAACCAAATTTTGTGGCTCTCTCATAAAAAATTCGTTTTGATCTTCGACTCTCAGTCTAGTTAGCGGCTTGCAAAAAAAACTGAGCCATATTGGGACTTGAGTAGCTACTCATTTCCTTGCTGTCATCTGTGTAGGACCATCTTGTTTAAGTGGGGGCCCCAAATACTGGACGTTGTTCTCGATTTTGATTTGGCATAGGAAAAGAAAAAACTTTGGGTTTCTTTCGATTTCTTTTTATGGCTTTTAGTTCTTCCCGCGATTCCTGACTCCTAAGGATTCTTTTAGCTTAAGTTCGATGCTTGCTATTTCTCTGACC